GCTCCTGTGTTTCAAGGCAAACAATGTTAAAGCAGAACACAGTCACTGTGCTTTATTTACTTGGAAGCAAAGCGGCAGCCGCAGCCAAAACCCAATATTAAGCAGAGTGAGAGAATGAAAAGAAGTAATAGGGGTTTCTGTTGCCAAGATGAATGAACAAAGAAAAGCACACTCCTTCCTGGTAATCAGAACCTTGCTCTCTTAAATAAATACTTTTTAAACACAATTCCACTGTATGCTCTATAGCAGAGCTGAATGTTCTCAGGAGTGCTGCTTTATTGGCAGTCACACAACTGGTGGCTTTCTTGACGGCTCTGTTGTCTGTTCCAACTACATGGAGGCTTCTCTTTAATTTCAATGATTTGGTCTCGAAAACTATTGTTTTAAAAGATCTGTAATTTCAAGCACATGCTGATATGTAAAGATCTGAACTGTAGTCAGTAGTGTACGTTCTCAAGCTCTGCTTGCATATAGTCGTGGTTTTGTGTAACCTCCTGCCTTTGGCTGATCTTTATCCAATTAAAAGGAAGCTTAAGACTCAGGCTGATTAGCCGGCGATTCTGCTGGGATAAGAGCTCTTCACCCTAATCCACCTCCTGCTGAGACTAAACAGTAAGGGAAATGATTCCTTTGTATGCAAATGCAATGACCTAAGTTGCAAAGTATTTCTAAAGTTTATTACTGTTTTCACATAGTGACGAGGGTTACATGAGAGGTTAAAATAAGTTACTTCTGCTAAGATTTTTTAGACCTCTGGCAGTAAAACACGGATGCGTTTGATATAGTTTTACAATTAAAAAAAATAATTTTTATACTAAATAAAATGCTGTGCAACACAACTTAATGTAACTGTCATATAGAGTAATAAAAAGCTGTAGTCAGTAGTGTACGTTCTCAAGCTCTGCTTGCATATAGTCGTGGTTTTGTGTAACCTCCTGCCTTTGGCTGATCTTTATCCAATTAAAAGGAAGCTTAAGACTCAGGCTGATTAGCCGGCGATTCTGCTGGGATAAGAGCTCTTCACCCTAATCCACCTCCTGCTGAGACTAAACAGTAAGGGAAATGATTCCTTTGTATGCAAATGCAATGACCTAAGTTGCAAAGTATTTCTAAAGTTTATTACTGTGTTTTCACATAGTGACGAGGGTTACATGAGAGGTTAAAATAAGTTACTTCTGCTAAGATTTTGAGACCTCTGGCAGTAAAACACGGATGCGTTTGATATAGTTTTACAATTTAAAAAACTAATTTTTATACTAAATAAAATGCTGTGCAACACAACTTAATGTAACTGTCATATAGAGTAATAAAAAACAAAATGCAAAATAATGAAAGAAAACAAAGCGGATGAACCTAACTAAGAATGCCACTTTTCGTAAAGAAACAAAACACAACTAGGGCTGCAACAGCTAATTGATAAAATCAATAATAATCGATAATGAAAATAATCGACAACGAATGTCATTATCAATTAGTCGCACACGGAAAACTTCCACCAGTCACGTCAAATTAAAGCAGTGATTAACGCATTTCTATGGACAAAATGCATCTAAAAATAGCGGATGAAACGGAGTGAGCTGCTGCGTGAAAGATGTATGATCCAAGCTGCCCGAAACATGAGAATGCTTTATTTTAAACTTCAAGCTAATGCATTAGTGTAATGTTTAACATGGCTTGTCCTGTTGTCCTGTGCTTTGACATATGCATGTGCTGTTTAATGTGTGAGATATGTTTCCTCAGTGCATAAACTGCATTTTACAGTAATATCCCTTTCTGTAAATGTTACATATTCACGTGAATGTTTCTATTTTGCATGAAGGCTCAGACTTCACACTTCACTGAACAAGCGCCGGCACACGCATGCGTATCAAACAGATGGAACGCAGTAAAGAGGGAGAAAATTTATATTCAGCGAAATAATATTCATTTTGCTGATATATCTGTTACTGGACGTTACATTTAGGTTTAAAAGTCAACATTTAATTCAAGTATTTTATGATATTAACTGTAAAGGGATAACAGAGTTTGACTGAATATAAATGCAAGACGTTTCTTTCATTTACAGAATAAAGAAATGACAGTAACAGGTTACTGTGTTCAGAGTGAATGTGTGGGTTCCTGCAGAACATTCCTCTTATCTGTTAACACTGTGTTTGTGTTTTTCTTTACTATCTTCTTCATCATTATAATTCTATTTTTAATATAGGGAATTAAACTATCCTATGTCCATTTGTCTGTTTAAACCATCCATTTAAACTGTGCTTTATAACTCTTTTACACATAATGTATAGCATAGAGATATATTCACCATACAGTATTTTTTTATAGCATTCAGTTGGCACGTTTGTTTGAAGGACAGCATTGGGCAGGATGTGCAATAGTGTGTTTTGTCAATAAAAAAAGAGAGGCATTTTATTCGAATAACGGAAAAAATAATCGGCCAACCAATCGATTATCAAAATAATCGTTAGTTGCAGCCCTTAACACAATACTGTAATGAAATGTGAAATAAAATATAAATATTAGATGAAAAACTTTAAAAGTTTAGACAAAAACGAACTGAAATCATTTTAAGTGCTAGAAGTACTAGAGCATTTCAAAAAGAAACAAAGTAATAAAACAGCAAACCAAAATGCAACTTTCATGCAAACTTTCACGTGACGGCTCACAGCTTATTTCATTTGGTATTCAAACCAGCAACTTTCTGCTCACCAGCTCTGAGCTCTCACTCACTCTCGCCCACTCTCAGGCCTGGCTGAGGTTGCTGCAGACTGAGTGATTGTGTGTGACTGCTGCATTATGGCTCCTACAGAGGAACACAGTATAAAATTGCTCTCTGTGACAAGAGTGATGTGACATACTGCTTGAAGTGATCGGTTTCAGCCTTGAGGAACTTTTCAAAAAGACCGAAACAAGCACTTTTGCTTCTACTGAGTCATACACACACACACACACACACACACACACAGGGAGAGTGAGAGAGAGAGAAACAGCGTGCAGGGAAATATATGCTAATGTAATGGAGCACAGTCATTTGAAAGGAAATGGGCCTGAATGAGCACCCCGAGGGAACCACAGCACAAAGTTCAACCCTGAAAAATGTATTTCATTTCATTTAAATAGTCCGCTCTTATGAATACACTGGGGCTTTGGGGCGGCACCGCTGCTTCGGGGAGAGCTGAGAGCCGCAGGAGGACTGAGGTGGGAGTTTATTTTTGGGGAAAAATATCAAAACAAGACGTGGACTCTGCGAAAAGTACTAATAAATGATTTTATAAGCAAAAGAAAACTTGCTCTGATGTCTCATTTGTAGGTGTTTTACAGGTCTAAGTTGTAGAAAATATGCTTTGATGTGGATTTGGGTGGATTTCGAAAGGGCTGAAAGGTCTAAATCTAGGTAAATTATAAGATAAAGTTTAACTAGATTATGGTAGTACCATGGTACATGGTGAAATATACCAATTTACTGAATAATTACCATATTTATATTATATAGTTACTCTACCAAAATACTTCAAAGAATAGATTTAACCATGTTCAAAAAAACAAAAAACAACAACTGAATACCATGGTGCATGTCCAGAAAAAAGAAAAAAATTTTAACACTAATGGATCCTCTGCATTGAATGGGTGCCGTCAGAATAAGAGTCCAAACAGCTGATAAAAACATCACAATAATCTACGTGACTCCATTAATTAATGTCTTGTGAAGTGAAAACCTGTGTGTTTATAAGAAACAAAATCCATCATTAAAGCATTTTAACTTTAAACTGTCACTTCTGACTGAAAGTCCACAGTCCATAATAACATTTACTTCAGCAGAAAAGTCCATTCCCTGTTGTCCTCTAACATCAAAACTCACTAACATATTTGTTTAGAATGGTTTTGGCTTGTAAACGGTGCTTGATCTGTGCATATTTCTCTCCTGATACAGACAAGACCACTTTTTCACTGGAGAAAGCAATATTATAGATAGAGGACTCATATTTTAGCTGGAAGCAACAATTTGGATTTGTTTCTTACAAACACATAGCTTTTTACTTCACAAAATGTTAATTGATGGACTGGAGTCATGTGGATTACTTGTGGATTATTGTGATGTTTTTATCAGCTGTTTGGACTCTCATTCTGACGGCACCCATTCACTGCAGCGGATTTCTGTTCCAATTAAAAAATGAACTCATCTACATCTTGGATGGCCTAAGGGCGAGTACATTTTCAGCACATTTTCATTTTGGGGTACGTTTAGTATGTTGTATGTACTTAAAAGGATAGTTCATCCAAAAAAGAAAATCCTGTCATCAGTCCAAAAAACATCATATCCCACTTTTTTATTGCATCAACAAAATTATCTGATGACGGCAGAATTTTCATTTTTGTTTAAGAAAAACAAAAACAAAAATAAAAATGCTGTTTTATTGTTTGTAGACTACAAGAAAATTAATTCTCGATGTTTTTAGTGGACATTTCCATGAATTGTGCCGCCGAATCAGTTTACTTTAGAAATATCTACATTTTAGTTTGATTCTAATTTGGCTTTGGTTGCCCTTAATGTGACCCAAAACTATTTTGCTTACAACATGAGCTACTAATATTGGGAGGGCCACAGTGGAGTCACGTCATATGTGTGTATGTTCCTGAAGGAGAATGACTGAAGCACTTAAGAACCCGGGATGTGAGCCAGGATAGAATTCCCAGCTTCCTGTCTGGATCCCGGTCCTCTGGGAGCAGATCAGGTGAATATTCCGGGATGAGAAAAGCACTCGTAGGGCAAACACTAAAGATTTAATTAGGGGGCTGAAAGAGGATTAGACTAGGTGTGAGTGTGTGTGTGTGAGAGAGAGAGAGAGAGAGAGAGAAGGAAGGGAAGTCCCCTCCACCTTCCTCCGTCTTGTTTTGTTGACTCTACGGATCCAACGGTGCCACATATGTCCAGCATATGGTACAAGAACATGCAAACCTAAACTCAAGTGAAAATACACACTCAAACACAGGCTTACCTGGGCACGTAGGCATATAGTCGATCAGTGTCGTTGTATCTCGGAGCTATTCGTGGATCAGGCCCTCTGATCTGTGAAGTACAGAGAAATCGAATAAGATTATGCCATAATCTTCTAATGTGACATTTAGATGTGGGTTTAAAGGTGAAGAGCGCAATTTCTGTACACTAGCAACACCACATAGAATTACAAAGTAGTGTGCTTACCAAAAAAGCATTGATAACAATGAAAAATACAAGTTGAACACATGAAAAACAAGTTTATAATCCCCCCCCACACTATTTTTAATGTCAAAATGTGAAAAGACACATACAGGACATGTGCACATTGGATATTAAGGTTTAAAAAATAGATGATTTACACTACCTTTCAAAAGTTTGGGGTCCGTAATCGTTTATTGATTTTGAAAGAAGTCTCTCGATCAAAAATGCAATAAAATAGTAAAACTATAAATATTATTACAATTTTAAATCATTCTAATATGCTGATTTGCTGTTCAAGAAATATTCATTATTATTAATGTTGAAAACAGTTGTGCTGCTTAATATTTCTGTTAAAACTGATAATTTTTTTCAGGATTCTTTCATGAATATAGCTCATGAAAAGTTCTAAATAAACAACATTTATTTGAAATAGAAATCCTTTGTAATACTATAAATATTTTTACGGTCACTTTTGATCAATTTAATGTGTCCTTGCTGAATAAAAGTATTAATTAAAAGATAAATAAATACATTTTTGAACAGTAGCATACATGAAGATTTACATCGGTTTAAAAATCAGAGTGTGCCAAAAGTGTTTTACTTAATATGCTTATGCATTTTAACCAATACAAGAATCACACAGTTCAAGATGTTTCATCATCATGCACACCCGATGAACTTGGCAAGATATTAAACCAGTGTGACCAACTGTCACAGTACCTATTACTAGTTGCAGTGTTTCACATGAGCGCAAACTAGAGTCTGGGTCTTTTTGTTACTTAAAACATCAAAAGGCGATAAGCTTGAGAGTTATAGTGTGCATTGAAGCTGGAATACATAATGAAGATAGATAAATTCATATCACTTCTATATGATGACTATAAATCAGGGAGAGGAAAAGAGTAAACAAGAGAGAGAAATGATGCAGCTCGGCTGATTTAGTGGAGAAAAGAGGTCAGTGTCTTCAGAGAAAGTCTTGACCATGTAATATGAACCCCCCCCCCCAAAAGAAAAAAACTTTATTTAATATATGCAGGATTCATGAATTATATATCTACCCTGTTTAATTCTATAATTACCATCAGTATGAGCTGTTAACCTCAATTTAGCATGACCGTCAAAGTGCAGAGAAGAACAAAACATGAACAGGCAACGACAAACATGTCTCTTCATTTTTAATGCATTTTTTTTGTCTCTGCAAACATGGAGGGAAATCGGATGCATTATTTTCCCATTACATCTCCTATGGTTTTGTTATGATTCCAATGAATAATTAAAGCTTATTTCTCTTTATGTAACTATTCCAAGATTTTGCAAGCTTGTATAAGAGAAATAACTTGCGTTAGACACACATGGCAGGGTTTAACATTAGTCTAATATGACCGCAGTGGGATTGTGGGAGTGCTGCGTGTGGCAGCTCCTGACAGATGAAGGTTAGAGGCATTATGTAAAGAAGGGCAGCTCATTTCTGGGGACTATGTGAGGAAAATGGTGGCATTTGTCTCAATGAGGAGTTTATAAGTGCACGTCCTCCCGTGTGTAATGGCAGCCCTGAGCACTACCCTGCATGCTAAGTGTGATCTTTAAACACAAAGGTGTCTCGCAGGGATCGAATGTCACCGAGAGTAAGAGAGAGAGATGACGACACGAACACGGCGTAAAGGTCACATTTAGAGAAGCGAGAGATGATTGTGGGAATGATAGACCACTGCGCATGCCAAATGATCAGAGCGATAAACAATTCCTCACTTTCCTCCATTCCTTTCATTCTGTCTATACAGGTCATCAGTCACATCCATTGTCACAGATGGAAGTATTCATGGCGTCATGAATGTTTCTGTGTCCACAGAACCCAGTACTAATATATATATATATATATATATATATATATATATATAAAATATAGCTTTAATTAATAATACATTTTGAATAAAAAAGTTAATTGCTTTACCCTAATAATGTGATTTCATCTTACATGCTCAGAATTAATATTGGTTTAAAAAAAAACATTGGTCAAACCGATTATCGGTATCTACTTTGAAGTCTTCCTGTAAAAATGCAATATTCCTGTTATGAACTCCATTCGATCAATGCCAATAACATCATCTTGCACTGAATGGTGAAAACAACTCTTCAAATCATGTTGAGAGTCCAAGCCATGTCTGATGTATACCACATACATTGATTTGCAGGCTTTACGCAGCTTCCGTAAGTCTAGGTGCTCAGGTTTCTATCAGTCTGCTAAAAAAAAATGAGTGCTTGCAAAGAAGAACTAGATGATCAGTGTGATTATTGTTAATGAAAGCTTAAGCTAAAATTATTTAAAAAGTTTCAATTGATTGAAATAAAGCTGAAATAATATAAGACAAATATTAGATGAAAAACGTAAACAAAAATATTACCTTGGCAACTATTTGAAATATCGGGTTTAATTTGCAATACTAAAATTACCATGAATTGAAATTAATTGAAACTAATATATATATATATATATATATATATATATATATATATATATTTTATTTATATATTTTTTCT